TGTGTGTGTGTGTGTGTGTGTGTGTGTGTGTGTGTGTGTGTGTGTGTCTGTGTCTGTGTGTCTGTGTGTCTGTGTGTCTGTGTGTGTCTGTGTCTGTGTGTCTGTGTGTCTGTGTGTCTCTGTGTGTTTGCAAGGCGGAGAAATCGAGCAGAAAAGGAAAACTCCCCCAGTCGGGGCCACCAGTGCGGGGCCGGGAGGGACAGGACAGTATGGGGCGGGGCGGGGCGGGGACAGGGGTGGGGGTGGGGGAGCAGCAGAAGGCTGGCCTGGGACAGAGCTGACCAGGCAGGACAGGTCCTGGTGAGAGGACACAGCAGCCCAGGGAGGGCTAAAAGGGCAGAGGTGGGAGAGGAGAGGGAAGGTGGAGAAATGGGAGAAAAGAGGCAGCCGCCGATGGTGGAAGGGGCCCACTCCCCCCCCCACCCTACCACCTCCCTTCCCCCACCCTCATGTCACCTGGAGCAACCAAACCCAGAGAGGGTCCGGGACTTGCCCAAAGTCACACAGCTCAGGCAAGCAGCAGACAAAATTCGAACCCAGATCTCCTGACTTGCCAGTGCGAGACGGAAAAGACAGGACAAAAGGAGGAGGTGAGACCGACCACTAGGGCAAAGAAGGCGGGGTCGTCCTGCCGCCTGGTGGGCGGGGAGGGGGGGGTACACATCGGAGCCGCCTATGCACCTACCTCTCAGCGCCAGCAGCCCACCCCAGCACTCACCTTCGCGTCACTTCTTTTCAGTCGGGTCGTTCCAAAGTTGGAGGCTCGCCTCCAACGCCCCCTTGGCCGTCTCCCTGCGCTCTGCCTCGGTCCTCCAGCCAGGCTGTCCCTCCCTGAAGAGGCCAGCAGAACTACCTTGCCTTTTTAGAGATCCTGTCCAAGCCGGGCGAAGCGGTAGTCAACATGTCGATGGGAGTACTAACCCTTGCCTCAGCCCACCTCTGAAAATGATGTCAGGGAGCCCGGACCGGCCCCAATCCCCCACATTTGACCAATCGGACCTTAGAGAATTGATACTGAATACACACAGCCCTCCCAGCCTACCCCAGGAGACCTGGAGCTCATTAGCCATTCAGATGCTTCTCTGCCCTCTTAGTTCCCCTTTCACTGCCATGTGACCTTCCCTCTAGTTCCAAACCGTTCACCCATTCAGAGCACACCCCAGAATGAGTCTAAGTTCTGGGCCCCCAAGAAAAAAGCCAACAGTCTGCTCCACCCATTTGCAAAATAAAGTGGTCTCAGATGGGGAAGGTGGCCTTCATGCAGGAATTGTTACGGGGTGAGGGGATACTCTTCTCCCGTGAACCAAGGAAATATCATTTTCAGCCCTTGAATCTCTTTCCTTCCCATCATCCTTTAAACTTTTCAATATAATTAATATTGGAAGTATCACAGGGTGCCTGCCAGTGCTAGGTGCTAGGTTAGGGTTACTGGTGCAAAGCAAACAGATCTTTTCTCACACCATCAACCAGAGAAAGTAGCAACCTAACCCACCTTTCTAAAACAGGAATTTCCCTGGAGTCAGCCCAGAAGCTGGCTATGCCAGAAGAGATATGTATGTGTATGACCCATGGGCTATTATTATTACTCTTCTGCTCTTCCAGGTGGGTCATATTCCAAAGCACCCCAGCAATAACAGTACTGAGGGCCAACCTGGACCCCCATCAGGGAGAACCATGTAACATTTGCGGTGGCTCACTCTTCCACATTGCAATCGCATTTTGTTTCCATCACTCAGGGCAGTATCCACGGACTATTTCAGTACAATTGCTTCTTAGTTTTTTCTCCTCTAGCAGAGTCTAAGCTCCCTGAGCACGAGAGCTGTGGTCTCAGGGATAACTGGTGCTGTCCGTTTGATGTTAGAGATTTACAGGTTTTCATCTTGGTTCTCGACACTTACTTCCAGTGTAACCTGGGGCAAGTCATTTCCCCTTTGTAGACCTAAACTATATCTCTATAATGGGCAGGTTTGAATAGAGTAAGTCTCTGGCAGTCCTAATCCTATGAATCTTACTTATTTTTGTATCTACTCCAGAATAAGTAATCAGAATCTTTAAATGTATTAATTGCCCGAGAGATATCACATAAAGAAGCAACCCAGTGGAAAGACATATCATGTCACCATCCTATGCTAAGCAGAGAAGCTAGTCAGATCTTTAAAACCTCAACGATCCTGGGAGAAATATATCCATTCTCCCACTTCTCCCAGATTCTCCCAGACCTAAATAAGCCCAAGCTCTGGATGAGCTGATAGCGCCATCTGCTGACAGAAACCTGTACCCCAGTGCCTCCTCCCATCCATTACAGTGGAAAAAGAAATGGAATGCATAGGAAACCCTTGCAATCCAAACTCTATACATTCTTCTCTCCAAATCAGCTCTTCCATTTTATTGACCCCACAATTACCTGGTGATCACATTCCAGAAACATTTCACTGTTCCTAGATGCCTCAAGACAATGGTACAAAGGCGGCTGCTGAGGCCCCACCACGCTCTCAAACATATTCAGTCCCTGGTCAATATCCTATAAGAGACTATGTCACAGTCCGACCGATCAACACCACATTCCCAACGAACCCCGGGCTCCAGGATAGTAGGATACAGTAGGATAAGGATAGTAGAAATAACTCATTCCTCACAAACAGAACATATAGTCACCAATACTTTTATTGACAAGTGCAAAAGAGTTAGGGTTGCAGACCAGGGCTGGGTGCTCACTGTCTCTGAGGGCCTTCATACTGGCCCTGAGCCCTGCTGCATCCTCTTCATCAACTCTTCATCCTGCATGGACAGCTCTGTCAGCTTTTTGCCCATTCGCTCATGGATGTCCAAGTACTTGGAGACACATCGATCCAGACACACGGATTCACCTTTGGAAAGCTCAGCTTCCTTGTAATGGGGAGGGACACACTTCCGGTGGCATGCACTGGTCATCCTGGGAAAAGTCACAGTCCATTCAACAACCTGCAACACCTCGAGAGCCCCCACTCCACTTGGTGGAGGCCCCATCAACAATTCCATTTAGCCTCTGGCAGGGACACAGAACTGAGCACACAGTAAGTAGAGCCCACTCAATGGGGCAAAGTTTCAACCCTGAACTCTCACCCAACCAAAAACCAACAGTCATACCCCCTCACTCGACCAACCCCACCCCACCCCTGGCCACACACACCCTGATTTCTATCTCATTCTTTCCTTCCCTTTCGCCCAAACCCAACATTGTGGCACTACCTTAGACTCTAAGAAACGCTTATAGTCTATGATGTTTTCAACCAACTGGGACTTTAAAAAGAGTTAACACATCTGCATATATACCCAATTGTATATGCTTCTGCTGATTTGCAAAGCTTTTATTCTGAACATATTTCCAATTGTATCTGGGGGGATGTGACTCATGTTTTGTGTGTTTATTCCAACTAGGATTTATTCACATTGAAGCTAAAACAAGCCCGTGACCAGATACAGAGATGGAAGGGAGAAGGGTATAAAAGGGTATACCCTCCCTACAGACTGGGTCACTGAGAAGCAACGAACAATCTGCCTCTCATTGCACCATGCATCAGACAGATTTCTTTCTTCTTATGGGAGCACACAAGGGAATACCATGGTTTGTTCCTGCAATCTAGCAAATACTCATATGAGCCAGGTGAGCCTGATTTGTGTTGGGGAAGAGATCTCTCTCAGTACCTGTTGTACATGTCGGCCATCATCTCTACCTCCAGCTCAGCTGCCAGCTGTTGGGCCCTAACTGGATCCATCACAGTCCCTCACACCACAATGGTTCCTGGCTTCCTTGGTCCTGGGGTGGTGGGAGGAAGGCAGATAGAACTTGTCAGCACCCATTCACCCTTTAGGGGATCTCACCCCAAGATCTGATGGTGGTCTTCTTTGTTCCCCATCTTTAATGACCCATTTCCCTCCATCTTCTACCCCAGTTTAAAGCCAGCTAGAAATTGATGCAACATGAAGAATATGGTTCACTCAGAGTCCGAGGTCCTGGGTTCTAATCACAACCTTGGCCCTTCCTGGCATATAATTTAACCTCTTCAGGTCATGCTTGTAACCAGGTTCTAAAAGTGGAACGTCTTTATGAGTGGTCAAACACTACAAAAAAGGGGAGCTACTGTGTAATTATTACTATTATTAGTGAACAGAGCCATAATTTCATCAATATGGGTACTACTACCCTAACCAGGCAGATCTCATTAACTTCTTGCCTTAAGTAGATGGCTGCACAAGTTGCCACATCTAGAAAACTTCTGGCCAACCTTCAGTGATGACTCACCATCAACCTAACTGGGCTGCCTTCTGACAAGTTAATCAACAAGGAGACATGTGACATAAGCCCATCTTTCCAAACCCGAGGGACTTACCAGAGCCTATAATTTTCTAGCACGGTCTGTGAGAAACAAGGGTCAAAATCCCCCAGGAACCAGATTACAATGTAATTGACACCACTGCCACACACCAGCAGAAGGAAATTTGGTATTTCATTGATGAATTCCCTCCACCAACTCTATTCAATCCCTTCATGCCACAGGAGATAATCTTCAGATACAGCTGAAAAGGTCATTATTCCATGGTCAACAAAGGAATATAAGCCATTCTCATTGAGCAGGACGGGCCTTTTCCTCCCCAGGCAGTCTGTCACTGGGTTCCTACTACTACTTGGTGAATGATTTCGTGGAGACCTTAAGTCTTCCTTCGATGCCTCTGGGCACTGAGACCCTCGAGTTCTCAAAGGTATACCAGTAGAGCACAAGCTCTAATAGGTGCTATCAAGTTAAGTCACAAAACATTTATTAAGCAGTTACTACCTGCCAGGCATGAAGCTACGTGCACTGAGAAAAACAAAAGAACGGTTCTGGCTCTTGAGGACCTTACGATCTAATGAGGGAGGCAATATGCAAACAATTATGTGAAGACAAGGTATATACGGGGTAAATTGGGGATAATCTCAGAGCGAAGCAGCTAGAGGGGTGAGGGGAACCATGACAGGTCTCCTATAAAAAGCAGGATTCTGAGTCTTGAAGGAAGCCAGAGAAACCAAAGGATGGAGATATGGAGGTGGGGATGGGGGTGGGGGAGGAAGCATTACAGACAAAAGGCACAGAAATGGGAGGTGATGGAGAATTGTGAACAAGCGCCACTGGGTACAAATGCGGGTTGCAGTTGTCGTTAAGTATCCTGGGGATTAGATGGAACAGTCAATCTCACTTCTCTCCAGGTCTCAGCTTTTCATCTATAAAATGAAGGGGCTGGTCTAAACGTGCTGGTGCCTTGTATTCCTAATACTTGACTGACTGACTGCGACCCGGTCATTTTCTGTTTGATGATTTAGTGCTAGCATTTCTGACCAAGACTGCCCAGCAAACCTGAAGAACTCCAGCATAACGGCCCTGAGCTCCTTCCTTACATGACCCCATCCTTTCGAGCCTTTAAAATTCAAGGAACACAGACTTCCCCATTAAAGGGCTGTGTGACATTAGGCAGCCACAGTAAGAGCTGACATTTGTGAAGCTTGCTTTCCAGGGGCTGGAACTTAATAAATGCTTACTGGGTTCCATTTCTAATGCACTTCACAACCATTATCTCATTGGAACCGCATCACCACCCTGTGGGGTACAGAGGTAGTGTCAGGTTAAAGAACAGTGATTTTACTGCTGTGATATGGAATTCCTGCATCAGGGACCCCCACCCCCCCACCAGTCCTCAGCATTTTCTTTATAATTTATAATCTTAGAGAACTTTCTAGAGCTTAGGTGTCAAACTTATGCCCTGAACCAGATTAAAAGGTAACTGGGGAAATGTTTAACAAAATAAATAAAAATACAACACAGACAATGTTAATTTGCGGTTTTCTAAATCAATCATTGCAAAGTCACAATCCCTATTTGAGTTCGACACCACTAGCCTAGAGCACTAAAAAATTAAGTGAGTTGCCCAGGATCTCAAAGGCAGTATTTGTCTGAGGCAGGACTTCTCGGTCACCACACCCAGCCTTGGATTCACCATACCTGTTTGGTATCATGGACTCCTTGGGGGAGAAGGGGGGGGTCAGTTTGGTGAAGCTGATGCTCAGAATGTTTGCAAATGCATAAAATAAAACACACAGGATTACCAAAGAAATCATTATAATGTACAGTTATCAAAACATTTTCGAAAAACAAATTCATATACCCCGATAAAGAACACCTGTCAATACAAGCACTGACAGATCTGGAAACTGAGGCCCAGAGCAGAAATGATTTGCCTCAGCTGGTAAGTGTAGAGGCATTTCCACTCTTTGGGCCTCCGTTTTGCTCATCTGTAAAAGGAAAGGGTTGGACTGGCCGGTTTCTGAAGTCCCTACCAGCTCTGACCCGCTCCAGTTATCGAGGTTCCCTGGACAAAGGAATGGATCTCCAAGCCAAAGTCCTGGGTTCAAATTCGGAGCGTTCCTGGGCACGTCACTTGGCCTCGGCGGGCCTCAGTTTCCTCATCTGTACCCGATGGCCTCTGAGGTCCCTTCCGGCCGCTGACTCACGATCCTAAGAACAAACAGGGAGGTCAAACAACTTCTAAAGGGGGCCTCGCTTGGATCTTTGCGTCGGGGACAGGGTCGGAGGTGAACGGAGGTCAAGGGTTACAATCAGGAGTTAGTTACGGAGTGGAGGCTCACCATGAGGTTCACCGACCTGACCAGTCGGTTGGTCAAGGAATGAGGGTCAAGGGTCAGACATTACGGTAGCAGCCGGTCAGGGGTCACGGCCGGTGTCATGACATTGCTGCCTCCTCCCGTACCCGCCCCGCCCCCCAAGCGAAGGGGCCGTTTGGGGACGAAGGGCACACGCAGGAGACCCGAACTTTTGGGGTTCCCCCATAGACTCCCGGCCCGGCATCCACAGGCGCCCCGGTAATAACACGGACTCACCTAGGTGAAGCGTGGGACCGCGGCGGTCAAAGTCCTGGGCCACTTCCGGGGAAACAGGAAGTCCTGCCCCGGGCAGGGGCGGGCGGGGCCCGCGTCCGCTCTAGGAAGACAGGGGCCGTGACCATAGAGACGGAAGGCGAGCGGAAGGAGAGGAGATAGGGGGCCAGAGGCGGGAGAGCCTTAGTGCAGAGCCCTTTGTGACGTCACGGAGGGCCTGACGGGGGCGGGGCTCCCGGCTGCTGCTCCACGTGGGCGGGAGGGCACGGGCCCAGAAACCGACCGTGCTCGGAGGCCGGCACAGGATGGAGGAGAACCCACCGCCGTTGCGGTCGCCCCCTTACCTCTGCCACACAAGCATTTATTAATCTCCTACTGGGTATCAGGCTAAGCACTGGGGATACAAGGAAGGGCAAAAGACATCCTCAGCCCTTGAAGAGCTACTGTCCGCTGGGAAGCGCAACATCCAGATACCCATTTCACAGATGCAGAAACTCGAGGGGGTGAAGAGGCTTCCCATCTCCTGACTCCAAATACAGAGCCCCTCTCCGCCTCCTCACGCAGACATCATCCAGGATGGTGTCCAGACATTACAGATCACCCCAAAAGAAAAGGCCAAGCCCCCCACCCCCGCCCCACCAGGCACTCCCTTCCCCGTGAAACGGCACCGTGGACAAGCCCACCAGGGCAAGGGAGGGTATGTGCCCAGATTTGGCCATCATTTTTGTATAATTGAGGGTCAGCCGCGTGAGCTGCACTGTCTTTTACTGAAGAGGCGGAGTCGGCGGACCCAGGTTCAAATCCTAGCCCTGTTGTTTACTCCCCTGGGTCACTTTGGACAGGTCACTTCTCTCTGGATCTCGATTTCCTCAACTCTAAAATGGGGGAGGGGCGGCCTTAGACCGGGTGTTCTCCAAGGTCCCTTCCAGCTCTAAATATAAGATCCAGTCAAGCAGGAGCGGACTGGGCTATTGACAAAAGCAGACCACTTGGGGCCTACCTTGAAGCTCCGGAAAAGCGGAGAAAAAATGCCCCCCCCCCCCAGCATCTTACCCACCTGCCTCACTTTAGCCATGAGGAAGCAGGTCCGGAGGTCACAAAGCAGAGAAGGAATTGGGCTTATTCTGTTTGTCCCCAGAACGCAAACCTGGCAGCCAAAGACGCACGTTGCAGAAGCAGATTTAGACTTAATGTAAATAAACATTTAGTATCAATTCCAACTGACCAGCTGAGGAAGAGATTGCAGCACCTGGCACATTTTTGTTTGTTTGTTTGTTTAGTCCTGTCTGATTCTTCACGACTCTTGGGGTTTTCTTGGCAAAGATACTGGAGTGGTTTGCCATTTCCTTCTTCAGTGCATTAAGGCAAACAAGAGGTTAAATGACTCGCCCAGGGTCACACAGCTAGTGAGTGTTTGAGGTCAGATTTGAAATCGTCTTCCTGACTCCAGTTCCAGGACTCTATCCACTGAGTCATCTAATCTGGCACACAGTAGGTACTTAATAAATGCTTATTGACTGACTGGCTGGGGTGATAGGAGGCTTCCCCTCACAGGAGGTCTTCAGACAAAACAAAGGCTGGACCACTTTTCAGAGAGGTTGTCAAAAGGATCTGGTTCCTGTTGGATTACATGGCCTCCAGCTCTGAGTTTCTGTAATTGTGTTACTTTTCAGCTAGGGTTCAAACCCAGATCCTCTGACAAAAGCCATTGCTCTGTCCATTAGGCCACACTACCTTATCACCAGGGCCATTTTACTGCCCCTACATAAGACTTAACCATTTGGGGGAAACTGACTTACTAAACCAACTGTGAGATCTTGGACATTATGAGCTGATAGCCATAGCACTGAATGTGCCTTACTTACAACTATCTAATAAAGAAGGCAGTTCAGGTAGTTTCTCTAAAGAGGAGGTGGAGGGCTAGAATTCTAAACTTATATGTGTACATGTGGAAAATGTTTTCCCTGATACAATGTAAGCTCCTTGAGCACAGGAACTTTTTTCTTTGTCTTCCTAGGACCTAGCACAGTTCTTGGTACATAGTAGATCCTTTATAAATGCTTGTTGGTGTATGGATAAATGGGAGAAGGAAAGGGAAGAAAAGGCAAGGGAAAGGAAGGGAAGGGGAGGTTAGGAGAGGGGAGGTGAGGGAAGGGAAGCTATTTTTTTAGAGCATTTTTTTATTTAGTATTTTAGTTTTCCCAGTTACATGTAAAAACAATTTTAACATTTATTTTTAAAACTTTGAGTTCCAAATTCTCTCCCTTCCTCCCTCCCCACCCCGCCCCCCTCATTGAGAAGGAGAGCAATTCGATATAGGTTATAGAGGTGTAGTCATGCAAAACACTTCCATAATAGTCATGTTGTGTAAGACTAACTATATTTCCCTCCATCCTATTACCCCTTGTTTATTTTCTCTCTCCTTTTACCCTGTCCCTCCTCAAAAGTGTTATGCTTCTGATTAACCTCTTCCCCAGTCTGCCCCCCTTTCTATCCCCCCCCCCCCCCCCCCCGCCTCTTATCTCCTTCCCCTCCTATAGGGTAAGATAGCTTTCTGTATCCAATTGGGTGTGCAGGTTATTCCAACTTTGAGCCAATTCTGATGAGAGTAAGGTTCACTCACTCCCCTTCACCTTCCCCTCTTCCCCTCCCCTGTGGATGCTTTTTCTTGCCTTTTATGTGAGATAATTTGCCCCCTTTCTCCTTCTCCCAGTACATAGGGAAGCTATTTTTAGGCCATTACTTCCTCCCCACCATGGCTTCCTTGTTGACTGTCAGCCACAAGGTTGCACCTGAGTTCTTGTTCTGGTTCTGCCATCAATCTGTAGTATGATCATGGACAAATCATTTTACCTCTTTAAGCCTCAGTTTCATCATATGTAAAACCAATAGGTTGGACCAGACAATCATTTCAGGTCCCTTCAAGTTTAAAATCCCACAGTTCCAGTAGGCTAATAGCCAGTTTGGATGTCTTCGAAGACTGTGAATTCATAGAATCAGGCTAGGCTTACTGACCCTCTCCTGCTGCTGAAAGGTTCACAGAGGAAATATGTTTTTCCCAAACGTCCTCCTTCCATCTCTCTCTAGTCTTTTTAAAGTAGGAACATATTGTCCCCCAGCAGCTCTTATTTCAGTGATGAAATTCATAGAGGAGGAGGAGGAGGAGGAGGAGGAGGGGACGACCTCGGAAATGAGTTAGCCCAATCCCCTAATTTTACAGAGGAGGAAATCAATATTCAGAGAGAGTAGGAGACTTGCCAGACAGAGGTCGAAAAACTAATGTCCTCCGGTTATGAACCCAATGCTCTTCCCGCCTCATCCTCCTCTAGTGTCCAACCCCAGACGCTCTCTCTAGGCAGTCATTTGCTCCTGTGCTTTGTCCAGATTCTGCCCACCCCATTTAACCAACCTGGCCATGCCAAAGTTTCTCCCATCTTCTCTCCTTCCTTCATGGAAGAGAGTTTTATCATTGTATTTCACCAGGGGTCAGTATTGTTCTCTCCTAGATGGAGAAAACCCAGGCACGAGATAGAAAAGGAGCCTGGACACAACCATCCACGATCAAAGGAACGCCGTTAAGCGCCCTTCCCCAGACATTTATCCAGCCCCCACAGACTCCCTGGATTTTATAGAGCACAGGGAGAAATTGAAGAAGATCTAGAAAAAGCTCCACTAAGGTGGTGAAAAGCTTGAGGAATCAGACTCAAAAGGAACTATTGTATTTAGCCAGAGGATGAGAACACACATGGTAGATTTAATAAGTGGATATCATTAGTTTTTAGAAGGGAAGATGGTGACCAGCTGCTTTCCCTCTCCAATGAGGACAGAACAAGAGGGAATGGGATTAAATGACAGCAGGCGAGTTTGGGACATATGGAAGAGCTTTCTATCTGGGAGCGAGGCAGAATCGAGAGAACAAGGACTCAGGAGCAGGAGGCTTCAGTTCAAACACCAACTCAGGCATTTACCAGTTGTGTGACCCCAGGCAAATTGCTTAACCTCTCAGAGCCTCAGTTTCCTCAATTGTCAATATACCACAGACCTGTGGGAATGCCCTCCACCTACCCAGATTACAACTCATCTGTAATTCACTGTTTTGGAGAGTTAACGAGGTTGAGAGGTGGAATGACATTTACCTGGTCATCCCACTGATGAATGTCAGAAGCAGGGTTTGAACCAGGGCTTTTGACTCCTAGTCCAACACGTTACATACTCTGCCATGACACCTCTCTGCCTCCTCTATAAAATGCAAGTGACGATCTTTGAACTGGGGACAAGGGCATGCGTGGATAAATATCTAGTCTTCTTGAAGCAGATGTTGGTCTTCTGTTCAGTGGAGCTGGACATCAGCTGAGCTGGCAAGGGGAAGTCAACTTACAAGTCAACAACTTGCCTTCTCTTCCTCCCCCATTTTTTTTCCCCCTCTCTGATGCAGCAGGAGGGAGCCTACTGTATTTCTTCACAAAGAAGACCTGAACTTGGATCTTGGCTCCGCCATTTCCTCGCTATGTAGTCCCATTTTAGGAAGGATTTTTTCCAAGTTGGAGGACGACCAGGATGCTAAGATGGCTTTCAACAATTCAATTGAAATTTTTAGAGAATTAAGTCAAATTTATAGGAATACAAGTCATTCCCCAATTGATAAATGGTCAAAAGATATGAACAGGCAGTTCTCAGATGAAGAAATTAAAGCCATCTATAGCCATATGAAAAAATGCTCTAAACCACTATTGATTAGAGAAATGCAGATCAAAACAACTCTGAGGTACCACATCACACCTATCAGATTGGCCAACATGACAAAACAGGAAAAAGATAAATGTTGGAGAAGATGTGGGAAAATTGGAACACTAATGCATTGTTGGTGGAGTTGTGAAATGATCCAACCATTTTGGGGAGCAATTTAGAACTATGCCCAAAGGGCTATAAAAATGTACATACTCTTTGACCCAGCAATAGCACTTCTAGAGCTATATCCCAAAGAGATCATACAAATGGGAAAAGTACCCACATGTACAAAAATATTTATAGCGGCTCTTTCTGTGGTGGCAAAGAATTGGAAATTGAGA